AGGAAAGGAAAGGAAAGGAAAGGAAAGGAAAGGAAAGGAAAGGAAAGGAAAGGAAGCAATATGTACATCTGCCGAAACATACCGTCCATGATGACAGCAGTCCAGAGACTCTTCTTCTTGTTGGCAGAGCGGTCATGAGATTGACACTGTTGATCTCGAAATGTGGACATTCCTCTAGGGCAGGGTGAGTTTTCACACACAGTGTGTTCCACACTTGCTCCCTGGCAGTTTTTACCTCCAGGGCCAGGTCTATTAATGGAGAGAAATATGGACAGCCTACATTGGTTTCTGTCACTTTATCCACAAAAGATTGATAGGACAGTTTGTGGGTAGGGCTCCTTTTAGGACTGCTTTCAGAATAAAACACAGATTAAAAAAAAAAGTTTCCTTTGAGATGAATTTGACTTCTGGTGATTTCATACACCTTACTGAAAACATCCACACGAACTAATGAGAATAGCAGCCAGGACTGAAAAATGCAACAAAGCAAATAAATCAGAACTTAAAACAACAGAGGACCTAACCCACTCAGGTATGGCCATCCCACCATAGATTGGAAATGAGGGAGAACTGGTTCACATTCTCATGCAAAGTTATTTATTTTGCATTTTCGAGGCAATAGACACACTGAAATGCAGTGATCTTTCCAAATGTGCACTGAATTTTGAAACATTGTTTTGTAATTAAAAAAAAAACACATCAAGAAAGATCTTAAGCACAAATAAAAGATAGATTCGTGAAAAGCGTCTTGTGATTGCAAGTAGCCAACGTTGCAAGCAAAAATGTATCATACACGAACGATGTAAGATATATCATGCAAACGTTTTAAAAAAAATCTCAGTTCAGTACAGGAAGGGTCCAAACGGAATTTATGAATGGAAAAATGAGAAACTAAGAGAAACTGAAATTGGCAATACTGTCTGTCCTTATTGTGGATTTATGGCCACGGATCATCTGTCCTCAAGTCACATTCATACCCACAAGCTTCATTTTTTTTTTCATACTGTTGTTGCACACACTTAAGTTTTAAAACAGTCTTAAGTGACATCAGTAGAGATTCTTTTGAAGCCTGAATGTAGGGCAGCAGAACAATTTTTCAAGAGAGGGCTCACAATAACACTTTCCAAACTCTGCCAATTATTTATGGCAGCCGTACAGAAGTGGTTTGCCATATTTTTCTTCAGGATGTTTTTTCAACATCCCAGTCCAACTTACACCCCTGGGATTTACTAGTGGCCTCCCATCCAAGTACTAATAAAACCTGACCTTGCTTAGCTTTTTCAAGATCAGCCAAGGTCATCTGCTAAAATGCAGAGAAGATTTACCAGTCCTAGGAAAGCAATGCTTTGCCTGCCTGATAGGATGGGGATATTTTGTGACTGGCAAATACATCATGGCAAAGTACCCTCAACATGCTCTCTCAATGTCATCCCTTTGAGATAGTCCAGACAGGAAACCAAAACCATGAGTACTGTAGGGTTACAGTAACAGAAACTTGCTAGTCTGAAAGCGCTTCCCTCCTCCTCTGCTTTTACTTTCCAGAGAACTAGGGAGGGTCCCTTTGGAGATGCTATCTCCACCCCCATTCCTTTGGTGTCTGACCATTGTCTAGGCTGTGCTTCTTCCTCCTGTCTCCCAAGATTATTCTCACAGCCCATTACATCAGAATGGGTCTGTTGACCAAGAAAGATTGGGGACTGCTGTCTTGGAATAATTCATATTGAGAGTCAGATCCTGCAAACATATCTTGGAAGATCTCGTCAAGCAAATAAAGATAGAGTCTGTTGAGCAGAGCTCAACTCCTGGTGAATACAAGGATATATCCAAATAGTTTTCTTGTTAACAACAGGGAAGTGGTTTGCCATTCTTTTTCCAGGTTGTCTTTGTTTATTTTATTTCTCCGTCTAGTGACAGCCATTGGATTTCCCATCCAAACACCAACAAGGTCCAACCTTGTTTAACTTCCTGAAATTGCTTAAGTGCTGCCAACCTAGTGAACATGGGCTAAATACAGCTCTCCTTTTGGACATCGTGGCATTGAACTGACAACAGTGGGAAGCTGGGTACATATTTATTGCTTGTTTTATTGACAGCAGCTTTAGCTTCTCGTGTTAGATGTCACTAAGACAAAGGGAAGCCATTGTTTTGCCATCCCCAAAAATATTTCAACAGTTGAATGGCTTGTGACACTAAACACCACTGACAATATATCAGAAGAAATATATAGCTCAGGAGATCCTAAATACCCCCAATGGTACTGAACATCACCAGCTGCAAATCTTAAATCAAAAGAGGAATAGGGAAGAAACTTTAAGCTCTTCCATCCCAGTGAGATGTATCATAACATAGAAAGCTGCTTTACACTATGTCAGATATTTGTTCCTCTAGGTCAAACCTGAGGTTTTCAAACAGAAAGCATCTGTCTCTAGCCCCTGCTACCTAATTCTTTTCACTGATGATATCAGGGATCTGGGATCCTCTGTACAAGACAGATGCTTAAGATAAAACCACTAAGAGTTGGCAGCCAAAATACATTTTCCTTTAAAAAAAAAAGAAAGAAAGGAAAGGAAAGGGAGGACGACTCAGAATTCCAGATATAACAAACTATATGCTTCCTTCTGTTTATGCGTGGTGTATGAATGCTCACAGTTCAGGAAAAACAAGCATATGTGAAACCTTATCCTTGGTTTCAGGACAGAAAAACTGAGCAAGAAACCCAAGTCTCCACTTGCACTCAAAGTTAGATCAGAGTCCTGGGGAATCTTGGCTTTACAGGCATGGATTACATAGTGGCACACGCATTCTTGCTTGATTCCTTTGATCAGCAGAAGTGGCTCAGTGAAGCAGAAGCCAAGGGTGAAGCTAAGATTCCTAGTTTCTTGCAATCAAAAAAGGCAGCTTTCACAAGCTGAGGGTCACAAGAAGCCAGCAGCCCCAATTTCAATGAAAAGCTTAGTGTAGCTGCTTATCTCAGGACCCCCTATACCAGTGTTTCTCAACCTTGGCAACTTTAAGACCCGTGGACTTCAACTCCCAGAATTCCCCAGCCAGCAAGGCTCGCTGGGGAATTCTGAGAGTTGAAGTCCAGGGGTCTTAAAGTCGCCAAGGTTGAGAAACACTGCCCTATACCAAAAGGTAGCTTGTGTCCAGTAAACTGTAAAACTTCAGAATGTCTAAAGCAAGTTCTAATCTTGCTACCCTAATTTCAATTCAGCCACACTGAATATACAGAGATAACTTTTTGCTAGAACACCTGTTTCAAGTACTCCTTTTTTCCCTTTGACATCTTAAGTAATTCATTGAGCTTTGCAAATTAGTGTGGACAAAGACATCCCAAACATCCTTTCCACAATTCTGAGATAGACCCATAACCTCAGGTGGAAAGGAATAAATAACAATATCTCCTGAAAAAAATAATTAGCTCATTTGTTTGAACAATAAATAAACCGACCACCGATCAAGGGACTCAGGCAAGAATATCAAGCGAATACAGAGCAAGTGAAACAGGAACATGTGCTGTGTCAGAGCCAAGAATGTTCTTGAGGAAAAGAATGTGAACAATCAGCGTTAAATCTCATTAGCAAAAGGAAAAGGCATGGGAGAGATTTTGCGTTATGGTGATCAATTTCCTCATACTTCTTGTTCACTCAATCATTTCCTATTGTCATCAGATACATAGTTCTGTGGACGAATCTATCATGCACCATCATGGCAACTATGGACACCAACAGCAACTTGGATCATGCTTTCTGAGAGCTTTCAGAACATCAAGTTTGGAATAGACTTTTCATTCAGGACATGAGCAAGGAAATCAGCTACAGTCCAACGAAGGCAGTGTCAAAAGTCTTTTATTAATGAAAACAAGAGACAGAGAGAGATGAGTGGCAAAACTGCTTTCACATAATAGCTGTGATGGAGGCGGGGGTGGTCTTGCTTATTCACAAAGTAGTTGCCATTCTGAAACATACTGGAATGAAAACAGATGAGACTGTTCTCCATCTAAGTCAAGACTCTCCAAATGCTTCCTGCTGCCTGAGGTACAATTCCAGGTAAAGCACTGACCTTCACCATGTTTTGTTTTCATTTTCTAAGAATACCTCTAGGACCTGAGTGTGGCCCAAAGTCATGATTGCAAATAAAAGTGATGGTGGATGCTATGCTTTATAGCATGAATGTCCACCATTAAAACCATCACCATTACCATTATCCTCATCATCAGGTGGGGCAGGCACCACATCACCTACTCCTGACTTAGATAGTGGAGAATCAGATGGATTGGGCTGACCTGTAGAAGACATCTTTCTATGCTCCCTCAAGCGCCTTTAGGATTTAGGTTCGCATTGGAATGAGTCAACTTACGGAGGATTGTCACATTTGCGTTGCCTGAATCTGGCACCCGTCTCACACGTCCGACTGCACATGCTCCATTGACTCCAAATGCTCCAGTCACCATCAATGTGTTCAGGGATGGGGGTTTTACTGACACACTCCCCCATTCGGCACCACTGGAACAAAAAGAGGTTGAAGGACAGGCAAGACCACAGTCTTGAGCTAGTGGCTGCTTTATCCCTTCTGTTACAGTCATTTCACAAGAGAAGACAAAACAACCCGTCAGAAATACTTAACATTGCACAGCCAAACAGAGTCCGTTTGAGATGCATGAAACAATGGGACAGCATTCCCCATCCTGGTGTCTTCTATTTGCATTGGGAACAACAATTGCCAGACTGGCTGGGAGTTGCTCCCCAGAACAACTGGAGAACACCAAGGTGGGAAAAGGGCACATTAGAGGTAGGATGACATTAAGCAAAATTAATAGCACTTGCTAGTTCAGAATGAAGACAAGGTAATTTTCCAATTGTGACAAAAGTGAGATTAAATTTGAGGGTCTTGAGCTTGGAGAATCACATGCCTGGTTGAATCTCACAAAGAATGGCAAAATCTGGAATGAGTTAGGAACAGATTTGAATCTTTCCAGGTGCTGCTCTCATGACTGCTCCTCTGAGGTCTTCTCAGAAACTACTGTGCAAAAGATAGAGGAGGAGCACATTTTGGTTATCTAGCAACTCATGGCTCTCTGTTCATCTTCCTCTGCTCTGCTATTCGATAGCTAAATGGCTTTTATGTGGTTTAGCCAAAACCAACAAACAAAAGAGACACAGCAGAAGATGGAAAGTATCAATAATTGTGATGGAATGGAATTATGAAGGCCAAGCTCAGGGAGATAAGCATTTTCTTAGCTCACCGGAACTGCATGAGAGGAACAAGAGGATGAGACTGGCCCCTCCC